TCCCGCCCAGCGCGGGTCCCATCTCCTGGCCGGGGCCGTCCCCATGCCATCGCGGGTGACCTTCCCTCGCTAGGGCTGTCCCCATCCCAGTAGGGGTGCAGGTCTGTCCCCCATCCCCACCCCTGGGTCTTCAGAGTTGATCTTCCCCTCCCCAACACGATGTGGGGATGTCCCCTGTCTCCTCATGTCTCCCTGGGAAGATCACTCCTATCCCCAGGAGGGAACGGGGTGTGTAATTGCTGTCATTCCGAAACCGAGGACAGGGGATACTCTTCCCTCGGGTGTTCACGTCCTTGGAGGGGCTCCACAGACAGATCCCCCCACGCATGGCGGGAACACTCCTCTCCTGCCGGGTGTTGCCCAGGCTCCTCTCCATCGCCAAGAAAGGCTTGTCCTCCACCACGGCTTTGTGCACCTTGAAGGAGGAAAGAAAAGGGACTGTCTGCATCACTTCGGGTCTTCCTGCGAATCACAGGATTTGGTGGAGCCTCATTCTCCCCAAGCATAGGAAATCAAGCCCCCCGGCACAGGCAGCTGAGGGCGTGGGGAAAATACACCTAAATACTCATCAGACCGGCACATGTGGGTACTGGGGTGTTGTGGCAGCGCCAGCCCTCAGGGCCTCGGGCAGGGCAGGGTCCCCTGCCTTGACCTCGGCACGCTAACGATGCTGGCAGCTTTGTGTCAGGACAATTGTGATGACCAAATCTTATGCTTCAGGGCTCCAGTTGATGGCTTGCAGGGGTCGGGTCCCCGGATGCACGACTGTCTGAATATATTGTGGGATTTTTCTCCTCTGCTTTCCTTTGCGGTGTTAGTGTGGTCACAGCTAGCAACCGACCATCGCTCTGACATGGTGCGGGGAACCCTTAGCAGATGCTGCTCCACATCTGGCAGAGCAGGGAACTGATACGCTTTAAAACTATGCCTTAGTTGGTAATGGCTGTGCCTTTTCACTAAGCAAAGAGATGGGTGCCACCTTCCTATGCACAAATGAAAGGGATTCCCTGCACCCCTGTCACCTCCCCGCACGGGGTGGGTAGAAAATGCACTTATTAAGTGCATCTCCACGTTGTGGAAGATGAGGCTGAACTGTGCCTCCAGATGCTGTCCATATCTTTAATTGTCTGAAGGAAAAATTTGATCTTGAGGTAAAATAATAAGAAAGCATGGAAATGCCTGGATAGCTCCAGTGGTCTCACGTGGCAAAAAAAACCCCAGTGTCAACTTTTCCTGTAGGTCTGGAGTTAAGGACAATGCAACAGTACAAATGGAAATTCATGGTTTCTTATATTCTAGCTTAAACAATTAAGTATCAATTGAAGACTTTCCCCTTCTTTCTCTAAGGGGCAGAGACCAAGTTTTATTTTATGCTGCATAAATACTTGGTGTCAAGAAAAGGATAATGATACTTAAAAATAACTTTATTCATAAAAAGCTGTAGCAATCAACTCCTGCTATACATCTAGCATTATTACTGTCGGCTCAGAAAACATGATGAAATCAATTTAAGCGTTCCTTTGTATGAAACAACCAATTTAAGCGAATTTTAGCTAAGCAAATAGGCAGGATCCCTAGCGAATGCGGTATTGTTGCAGCTAGGTGTTCAGCTACAGTTTGGGCGGGTTAACTCTGGAGTGGGAGGAAGGAGCTTTTATCAAATTGCCTAGAGCAGCAGAATGAAATACGCCCTGCAGCTAACTATCAGGAACACGTCTTAGCTGGCCTATTTCCAGAAGGCTGGGAAAAACAGCAGCTGCCCTGTCAAGTTCAGGGAGAGCCTGACATTATTGGGCAGTAGGCAGTATCTGTTGAGAGACCATTCAACCACAGAAGCGTCTCAGGATCTGCTTTTATTTTAGTTACTGAAGACATTTCTCATTAATGACCCATATCAATGTCTGCCATTAAAAGTAGCATCCAACGGCACCTTTCTGATTGCATGCAAAACTTGGCTTGACTTCCGTGCGATTTCTCCCCAGCGGACAAAAGCATTAGTCCTGTTTCGCCCTTCTGGGTGAGCAATTTCTTTGTTCCTCCTGCCAACCAGCACATTTCTAGATCCAAAGCATTCCTGGTCCTGCTGGCACCCCGTTATGGAGAGAAGAACAGATTTACAAAAGCAGAAATATTTGCTGATATTACAGGAAGTTGGTTAGCCGAGATCAGCAACAGATTTAGTAGATGACCAGTTTTGTTCTTGCTGGTACAGGAGCCACCGAGGTTTGCAGGGCAGGGCGAAGGGAGGGGGTTCAGAGGTATCTGGGAGCTGCACATAGTCTGGCTAGATGATGCGTAAGGTGGGAGAGCCAATGTTCTGATTTTGCTGGTATGCACAGCTTTTTAGAAGGCAAAATAATTTAATAAATATGTTGTGTCTCTGAGTAGATTCCTGATTTCATAATTATTTTGTCCCCTGTTGCCAGTCAGGCATATCTCGTGAACCATGGCCCGTGTGAGCGCCAGTTGTATGTAACTTTATTAACAGACTTTTAAAAACCTTGCTTGGTAACCACATGCCCCCAGTGGCGGGATATCTGGAGATAACAACTGAGTATTCGTCGTTTGGAAACACTCGAAATAGTGTGCTCTGAGTCAGAGCTTCAGGTCACCACCAATTCACCAGTCCCCCTCTTCCCCCCATTTTTTCCTCCCAGCTTTGCCATTGCTGCTGGGCGACTCACAGGGAATTAGCAAAATTTAACTGCTGGTTTTTTTCACAAGACAAACCACCTAAAAAAGCAAAGAGCACAATGATTTTTCAGCAGATTAACAACTGAGACCAGCAGGACTCCCTTGTGACCAGAAATTAGTCTGTGCAGACAGAATGGGAAAAAATGGAGAATTCGAGGCATATTAAAATGGTCCTGATATGAGCATCATCATTTTTAATCAAGAGGAAAATCAAAAAGGAATATCTCATTAGATGATATATAGAGCATTCACCAAAATACGAATTTAGCATGCAAGCATCCCATCTTCATCATGGCTACAGAGAAATTCCTCCACTCTGACTAGTAATTTAAATATCCTAAAATTATTTTTCTAGCCTAATGTTCAAAACAACATTTAAAAAGAGACGCACCCTTCCTAAGAAATAGGGAATAGATGTTGTTTGTTGCAAAATACCTTTTAAAATAATGTTATTCCTGTTCTCCGTCTTGTTGACTTTTGCAGAAATTAGTCATTGAAGTGATTCTCCGTGGTGACAGTCTCTGTGGATTTTGGAAAGCGTTGTCTGCCTACCTACTTGTTTCAAGACTGGGACTTCCTGGATGATGAGAGTTTACCAACATTTCTCTCCCTGCTCAGCTAATAAATGACAATTTACTTCTCAAAAGGAAAATAAGCAAAACCTCTGACCCTATGCACTCCTTCTCTGGAGCTGTCAGTAACTTCCTTTTTCATGTACATCTTTGCCTCTGTTGACCTTCGTTGGAAAAATGCTTTCACATCTAGACAGGGGGTTGGAGGAATTCCAGACGTTTTGCGCTTTATTCAGTAGTGCAAGGAATGGTCACTGTCACAAGAGTTACACAATTACTACAAAACACTTGGTGTTGGCTTATCGCAAAAGGTCCACCATTCTCAGAAACGCTGACTTGGATTGCTGCAGTCAGCGCCACACTTTGGGCTGGTATTTATGGCATTTATTGTCTTTCGTTTGCAAACATCCGTTAAGAATTATCTCAGTGGTCCTGGTTCAGTGCCGCAGTGCGGGACCAGACACGCGACGGCGTCTGTCACAACACAGCGGAGAGGCTGGCGCTTGGCACTATGCATACCTAAAGACACACCAAAGTCCTGCCCGACGGGATTTACTGAGTGCCCGTGCGCTGCCAAGGTCCAGCTAGCCTAAGGGCCTGCAGAAATTTAGATAAGGATTATCTTAAAATGGCAGAAAACAAGAAAAGGCAGATCCTGTCACTGAAGCAGAGCAGCTGGCATGGGCTCAGTGCTGTCAGACCTGAAGCACAACCCCATGCCGTGGGGCCCTGTGACCTTGGAGGCACCCAAGACTTTAAGTAGCCCAAGCCCCGCTGCCGTGACCGAGCACGTGGGGCGCTCACTTTCCCCCCAACAGCTCTGAGGTCTGGGCTTGCTCCTCTTCCCACTCTCCAGGGAACTTGCTCCCTGGGCACGGGAGAGCTGTGAGAAGTGGCTTGGACAGGGAGGAAGGCACACTTGAAATCTAGAGACCCACTCAAAGGACACTGGTTTTGTTTGAACCTGTCTTGACACAAAGGTTGAAGCCTGAGCAATGCGACTACCAGGAAGGTATTTGTCTTTTTTGTTTGAAACAGCTGTTTTTCAAGCCCAACTTGACCCGCTGAACAATGTGGCCTGATGGAGTTGCTGACTTTTCATGCAGCAAAAGGTAAAAACCCAGGAGTTTGTTTTAACATGACAATAGCTCTGTGCTTGCTGCAGAGCAGCCTTCAGAGCTGTTACGCTAACCATTTGCTGCAAGTGTGTGCAGCACTGCTGCTGCTGCATGAGGGGAACCACCAGCGTTTATTAGAGATGTTGTCATGTGGCACCGAAAAGCCCACGTGCAAGGACACCGTAAAGCCCAGGCTGACCTCCTTTTACTCCTCCCACCCGCCTTCCTTGACTGCATGCATTGCTCTTCTCACACTGAAGCAGTCACCCGAGGTCCCCAGCAATCCCTTGCAAAAGCAAAGCAGAAGAAAGAGCCGAGCCAAGACCAATTATGAAAATCAGATTCTTTCTGTCACTGTGCACCAAGCATTAGTGAGAGGTACATTTTCTCCATGCTGGTAACAAGGAAAACTCTTCTCCTCCCCTCATTCAGCAGCACTTGCATCAACAAGATACCTGGGTGACTCAGAAGCTTCTGTGTGACACATTTCAGTGCAAACCCCACCAAAATTAATGTGACTGATGGCAGCCACCTTACTCTGCTGGCTTGCTCGAAATTAAATGGTCCCCAGCAGCACAGGAGTGGACAGATGTCCACACTGCAATACACACGTGCAGCAAACTCCTAGGACTACACAGGCATAAAAGGACTTCTGGGAGATGGGCTGTGCATGGGAAGTGCTCTTGCTAAAGTTGAGAAGCTTATTTTAGCCAACAACTTAGTTAACACATCCTCCATTTTCTCAGTCAATGTTTAGATGAAAACACACTAGCAAGAAACCAAGGGAACCCTGCAGCAGGACTTCAGCCCAGGATATCTGCGCTGGAAGCTCGTTTGTACCGTACCTTCAGCTGAAGTCAGAGGGAAGACTGGACGACTCCAAATGCAGGCGGTTGGTGCTGGCAGGAGGTCTTCCCACCAGGGAAGGGGGAGCAAGGGAGAGACGTAGGGTTTCCCCCCTTGCTCAGTTGCTTTCTGAGGAATGAACGGGT